GAAAGAGATCCAGCAGTAACCTGGAACCCATCGGTAACGCTATCCTCTCGGGTAACGGGATCAAACCGGGATCGGGATCCTATCGGGAAAAGGGATAACATCGGAAAAAGGGGGTCCCTAGGTGGAACTGTATGCCACAGAGGATGGTATCCTAACGGGATCGGTAGCCCACTGAGATCGGGATTCCCCGAGAACGGGATCCCACTAAGATCGAGACACTGACGGGATCAGGATTGAGATAGATCTTCCAGAAGATTCTATATTGTTCTAAGGGGTTATATAACGTGATCTAAACGCTTATTCAAACAAATTCGTACTGAGCATGATCCCATAGAGGAATAAGATCCTAATGGGGAGTGAGATCAATTAGTATACTGGAACCCATCAGTAACGCGATCCCATCGGGTAACGGGATCAAACCGGGATGTGGATCCTGTCGGGAAATGGGATTAAATTGGAAAAAAGGGTCCCTAGGTGAAACGGGATCCCATAGAGAACGGTATACTAACGGGATCAGGATCCACCAAGATTGGGATCGAAATACCGACGGGATATCCCACCGGTATCTGGAATCCCCCTGCATCCGGAGCCACAAGAAAATGGGATCCCACTGGGATCTGGATCACACCTGGAAACTAGATTGCGCCGGGATCGGTGTCAGAATGGGATTAGGTTTCCAATGGGATTGGGGTCACACATGGATGGGGTCATCATGCAATCCCGTGCAACGCCGGGTATATTGGCTAGTATAATATATGTATACTTTTTTAAATCTCTAACGAGCCAACATTGTTAACATCGCCATCTTATATGTATCTCGGTTTACTGTGTAAATTAAATGATTAAAGACACGGTAATTAGCTTTTTCAGTGAGTAAATTTTTAATTCTGCTTTTAGTTCATATGAAGTATTATATTCTTTATAAGTTTGTGTATCTTTTCAGTTTAACAACCCTATATTAAATCATAGTAAAATGCTATTTTTTAAACGGGTATATGATTAGAATGACGGAAAGGGTTATTAAATGTCTATTTACTATTTAGTTTTTCCACTTTCGCCAGAAATATATTTCTATTCTTTTTGCTAAAACTAAAAGGAACTTCTTGCCAAATTCATAAGAGTAATGCCCCTTTGTGTGTATAGTGCTTGGCGCAAACTACAAAGCTGGGTGAAAATGGACGAGGAGCGTAAAACTTCGAAAGAATCGATAAAAAGCCGTTATCGAAATAAAAGAACAAGGTTTATAAGAATCATTTTAATTACCATTTATACTTTTCACAAAAGAAAATAATTCCCTATATAGTTTTTTACTCTTTGCCTTTGATACCTACACTAATCTGATCGTCTCCAATAAACTAAATTTTTATTTGGCTATTTATACGGTGCGGCATATGATATCGCCTATGCCGCGGCGCCAGGCATAATTTGCTACGACTACGTAGTTCAAGTTTAGGAAAACATCGGCCACCCACACTGGGACTCTGAATAGGGACTGTGTTAAAGAGATATTCTATATTAATATCTTTAATATACTTTAATTAATATAATAATGTCAATGTCACTTGTCACCCATCTGGGGGGGAGAGGGTCACACATTTTTTAACTATTATTAAGTTGTGACAAATTTTATTTTTTTTTTTGGTGGGGGGGTGTCAAAAATTGCAAAAATACTGTGACATCTTTTATGGAAAAGCCTCATTACATAGGCTTATGTATATTTAAAAATATGTATATTTAAAAAAAAAAAAAAAGACTTATGGTAAATTTTGCCAAGAATTTTCTCACCCTAAGCGCAGTGACTTCACATTGGGGAATTCCAACACTGGACTTAGGGTGAATAGATCTTTGAAGGACCCGAACGATGTGTGCTATAACATTCCTGTTCTTTATTGAGCATTACTCGCGTCATAATACCAATACCCCTCCCCAATTTAACAAAAAAATGTAAAATAAGAAAACAATAACTTGCATTATGCAAATACAAACATCGAAATCTTTTTAGTATGGCACTGTAGCCGGTGCTGTAGGCAGAAATGGACCTGGAGGAACCTCCTTGACCTATCTACCGTGGAACACATCGTAGGCCTTACCGCTAACTCAAAACCAGCCAGATTTTTGGTTATTGCTTTTAAAAAAGATTAAAGCCAAAAAGTTAAGCGGGACAAATAATTATAAATAAATAATTTTTTAGATAATACTAATACAAGCTTGATAATTTACTTTTTTTCACAGTGAGGTATTGAATGAGCTAACCGATTCTGATTGTCAAAATCAGCCACCATCAGAACAAACTCAGAGTTTTAAAAGACCAAAGTGGGATGAATCTGCAGCAGGAAGTAGTTCACATAAAAATAGTTCACAGATGGGGCCTACTGTATTAAAAGCATCGGGCAGTGATGAAGCAGACCCCAAAGGGGAACTTGTTACTCCAGCAGTATTAATCTCAGCCAGCGCAGCACAAATAGTCCCTGGGGTAATGTCAATGTTCCTTTCAATTAATATGCCAATTTAGTCATATTTTATTATTGGCAATATTATTGGCAATATGATAGGTTTTAACATTAACCGCAGGACTGCACCATTATCAATAACAAGAAAGGTTCAACAAGAGAAGATACAATTTTAATTAAGGGCATTCTACTTTAAAGGTAAAAGCTGTATACTTTAAAACTGATATATGCTGATCAGTGATTTAAGGAGGATGCTGGGAGAGGGGGGTCCTGTGGATGGCACTTTTTACAAATTAATTGGCAGGGTGGCATTTTTGGCCAGCTGCACAGGTTTTTCTTTGTCTTTGGGGTGGCCGTGCAACACTAACCCTCCCTATGTCACTGATAATAATATAAGTGTAATATGAGGAGGACTGCGTTTAGCTTGAAGCAATATAAAATCTAACATTCAGGTTTTTATGTTACAGACATGTTTACTCTTATGATTTTGACGTACAATGTACAATTTTGAGGTGTATATGTTACGGCCAAAGCCCAAAGTTTGGCCAGTTCCCGAATTGGCCGGCCATTTCACACTTAGGCAGAGGCATGTGGCCTATGTCTGATGTACTTTAAATTGCCAGTGTATAATCTACTTTGGCCGGCCACTTCCCGACGTGCCGGGAAATCCCTGGCCAGTTTTCAATATGCTGATGCAAGACTAATAACAATCCGAACAGATTATGTTTAGTGTGTGAAAAAGAGTGTTATTAACCCATTCTTGTGGATGGATCCAGTGGCAACGATGTTCACGCAATTTGTGGATTAAGTAATGAAGCAGACCAAGGGTACAGATGGAAAATTACTTACAGACTATATCATAATCGTGCAGGGCTGGTCTTTAGGGTGTGCGACCGATGCCCTCGCACAGTGCGCCGTGGTCATAGGGGCGCCCAGTAAATATTTAAATTCCCTTAGAAAACGGTATTCTAACTTTTCGTACATTTGCTTTTCATACATTGAGTTTTCATACAATGAAAGTTGCATTTTTAATGCGGACACTAACACTCGGTTTGGGACCAACCGAAAAGGCGTGGAAATTAGGGAAAGTGGCGCCGAACCGGTGCTTCGCACAGGGCAAAAGTTTACCAAAGACCTGCGTTGGTTACATTCTTTCTGACAACACGTCTCTCAATAATCATATTTTTCACATCCGTCGCTCTGTGTACACCGATATCCGCCACTACCTCACAGTAAGCGCCACAAAAACACTGGTCTGTGCTCTTGTTCTCTCTCGTCTTGACTATAATAAGTCTCTTCTGTCAGGTTCACCAAAACATTTCATAGAAAAACTGCAGAAAGTTCAAAACTCAGCTGCTAGGTTAGTTCTAAAGGCAAAGGACGTGATCACTCGATGCAATTGCACTATCAAGTGCTTCACAAATCATTGCAAATGTAAAAATAACAAACTGCTTTGTAATTTGAAATATCATAAAAGATCATCTTGTTGTAACAAGTGATGATAGACATTGATAATTTACTATAATAAACTAATTTGTCTGATTCGGTAATTTAGTATACTGGTAATTAAAAATCAAATGTGATTATCATTACGGTATACTGGTACAAATACCTAAAATCTGCTCATGACCTTTTTCTTCTGGCTTTGGTCGATAACCCCATGCCATTTTGCCCACTGGCTGGCCGAATGCTGAAATCAAGAAAATATCGGATATTGGCCTGTCAATGTGAGGTGATAATGGCCATTTCCCGATTTGGCCGGCCAGTTCCCATTTTGGGCGTATCATATATATTATATATACTGTATGTTTATTTTTTAAATTTTAAAATAATGTAGTGAACGATTTTTTAATGATATCGTACGATTTTAAGAGTTTGAGGGTAAACAGGTCTGATATTATTTCATGATACTTTTAGGCCTATAGTCAGGTGATTTTCTGTTTATCTATATTTTACATCATTTTCTTATATTTCTAGGCACCTCGTATTTTACTAGTTAACCAGCAATCAAATGCAGAACTACCTCAACAAGTTAGACTTGATGCAAGCAAATATCTGCAACTTTTGCGTACTCCTCCATCTGCCAAAAATAACAGGATATATCTTGGAAAGGAAAACGGCGAAGGATATAGGGGTTTTGGTCAGCAGCTTTTATTTAAATGTTTTAAATAGATTATTAAAAGGGTAAACTATACAAAGGGAACAAAGTGTTTTGAGTTGTCCGGCTTAGCAATTTAATACATTTCCAACAAGTTTTCTCACCTTGGAGAATGTGTTTGGCTTGTATTGAAAGTAACTCACATTGTTTCAGATAATTTTAAACAAAAAATTAAGAGTGAACCATGCTTATTGGTCTTTGAATATTAAATAAAATAATAAAATCAAGTACCAAACCATGAAACCTTTGGTAGCCATTTTCTGTTCAAGTTATTAAAGTTCTTGTGCGAATTAAATAATAGTGAATTTTCCTTGCATTTCTTCATTGATGATAATTGTTTTTACCCAGATCGTTTTGCTAGAGTGTCTGATGAAATCATACTGCGGGTTTTCCACTATCTACCTCGCCACATGATGTGTACTTGTGCTCTAGTCTGCAGACGATGGGCTCGGATTGTGTAAGTTTAAATGTTTTTTTAATTTTAGTTGTTATCTTTCTAATGTTTGATTAGAAAATGTTTATCTAATGATAGATATACTATCTATAATTTTAAATTGAGTATTATTAAGAGATGAAAAAAAAGTACTCTGTTCTAGAACATTAATTAATCTCCTTGAAATAATCTATACTTAGGTAAGGTACAAATACATATTAACATCTAACAGTTTCCTAAGTGTGTGAACAATATGGTTCAGAGTTTAAGAATCTAATTGAACTATCAAAATATAGTCCTGTTGCTAATTCACACATGTGAGCCATTTGTAATATAATTGATATTTTTAATTCAGATGTGATATATCTTTATGGAGGAGAATGGACATGGCTGGACGACCTCTTAAAGTTGGAATTTTAAAAATTTTATTAGAAAGAGGTGTAGAAGTCCTCAGGCTCAACAGATCTGAGGTAGGTGTAAAATAAATTGAATAGTTCATATTTCCTGTTATAGTGGTTGATTCTTGGAAATATAAAAAAAATAAAGCCATGCCCATTTGTGAACAAAAAATAAATAATGTTTTTTTTACATTTGTACCAAACTTTTGTTTTGTTTCTGGAAAAAAATATACTCAAATTTGTGTTTCCCCTTGATTAAATGTAATCAAAATCATTGAGATTTATTTAAAAACATGACAAGAAAATAGAGGTATAGAAAAAAAAAAGGAGAAAAATCTCTGATAATTGTTGAACATTTTATAAATTTATATTTGTAAGCACTTTCAAGAATTTGTTTGCAATATTAATCTCAAGTCGTTTAAGTGTCGTCTAAAACTGAATAAATTTATTACATTACCATAACAGCTATTGGAAAAACGACAACTGCTCATTGACAATAATGTTAACTTTGATATTATGTATTTACCCTAGGTGATGGGTGATTTTTCCAGTACTGTCCAAGGTGCACCAGACCCTAGAAGATCCCCACTCTCGGAAGATAGGTACTGACCATTAGAAGAAGTAACAATGAGGGCCTAATATCCTCTTAATAGTCATACAGAATGAAAAATAAACACTCTAATTGCATATCCGAAGGATGTGTCTTGTAAAAAAGGAGGGTGCAACTTCACTTTGCCAATTAATTTCCTTAAACCTTTCGCTCTCTTGAATCGAACATTATTCTGTCCCTTTCAGGATGTATCGCTTACAGATGCTAGACATGAGTATGGCCAATGTAAAAACAAGCCTGGTTGAAAACATGTTGAAGTTCTGCCCAAATTTACGAAAGATTAGCTTAGAAAACATTCCTGTTACAGAACAACTGCTTATGTAAGTCTTCTCAGTAAGGTTGTTGTTTTGAACGTTGTATAGAGCAAATTAATACATGAACTTAGTTCATTGAAATTTCAGTTCAGCAGAAATAATGACTTGCAAAAATACAGTTTTTACACTGGAAATGTCACAGAGATACATTTGCAAGGTAGGCTAATTGGACAAAACAGCAATTAATGGTTGTAAAAAAAAAATAATTCAGAATTAGATCAAAGTTGGATAGTAAATAACTGCCATTGTTTTTAAGAGAGGCAGTAAAAAAAATAATTTTAATGCATGTGCAGCATAGGGGAGATGATAGACATTTGTTACAGTGAGTCCCAATTGTAGTGCATTGGTGTCAAGTTTGGCAAAAGATGAAATAAGTTTTAAATTTTGTGCAATTATGTTTTGTTAATGTTAGCAGACTGGTATTGAACTATTTTTTTCTTAGAATCTTCTTTTTTTTTTCTTTCTTTTTTTTTTTAGAAACATAGGTGTAAATAGTCCTTACTTAGAAGTGTTAAACTTATGTATGTGTGTGGGTGTCACTGCCAAGGGTCTGAGATGTATTATTGAGAACTGTACAAGGTAAGTTATGAAAATATTAAAATTTCACCAATGTTCAAATTATTATTTGGATTGACATTTAAAAATAGTTTGAAATAAGCACATATGCAATATACAACACACAGATATAAGACTCTTCTGATTAAAATAAAATCCCATGGATGGATTCTTAAAATGTATTTCCTAAATCTACCACTCAACAGTTTTATCCAAAATGCATTTTCCAATAATTTTTTTATGCTCAATATTCTTCAAACTCTGTTGCCGTCATGTTTCTTTCTAATTAAAGCAACTAGGTTGTCTTCCATCTTTTCACTGCTTTGTTTTCCCTCACGCACAGTCTTTCACAACTGAACATTGCCTGGACTTGCATGTCCGATGCTGAAGTGAAAGCTGTTTGTCGCTTCCTACCAGAGCAGCTTACGGCACTTGACTTTAGTGGCAACAGAGAAAAGATGGGTGACAAGGGTAAACTAGACTCATTTGTTTTGTGTATTTAAATTTTTATGTGTGTGATTAACCAGATATTGGTCCCTGTATTTGTTTCCTTGTGTAATTGTACAGTATTTATTTATGGATGGGACATTACTATGTTTTTGTTCCCAGTAGCTGTAATTGAATTAGGATGAACTATTCTGAGACCTGTTTACCCCTACGTTTTCACAGTGGTGAGCCTAAGAATACGGCACTATGACAAACCTTTAAAACAACTACAATTTCTACTAAAAAAATATTTGGGGTATTTTCAATAAAAAGTTACAGCATTTTTTGTGTTAAAACCATAAGCAATCCAATAAGGGGCCAGAGGAGGGGAGGTTGTCGATTTTGGAAACTTTGTGTACAGGTGTATAGGGGGGAGGGGCAGAAAATATATGCATTTAACAAATTATTCTACAATAAACATCCTGAAATTCTGACAGTCCAAAAATATTTGTATCTTAAATGCTGTAAAAAAAATATCCCACAAATATTTGCAGGAATTATCGTCATAATGTTGCCATGTATGTGCACAAATGAATTCTCTAGATATCTCTCAGATATTACTCACTAGTAGAGGTATTACAGTATTAGTTCACCATAATTATGTCAGATCTGCAGACCTGCCAACCCTTCCGATTTTGTCAGAATTATACAGATTTTTTACCCATCATTCCGACCTTCCGACAAACCCCTTAAAATTCAGATTTTCCGAACATTATAATTTTTCACCCATCACAAAAATCCGAAAGCGAAAACATTTTTTTTTAAAAATCGGATACGACAGGAAGTGGTGCATTTCTTAGATGCCACTTCTTTTGTTTTTACGAAGTGTCTACATGTCCTGGGATCGGATCAATAAGTTCTCGAGATATTCGTCTGACTGTAATTGTTATATATTCGACCAAGTCACAAGACCGCCGTAACAACGTTGCGCAAGATAATTGTCCATCAGTCCTTTCACGTGCCCCCTAATACTAATAGTAGTAATAGTTGATCAGAGTTTACGGTACTTCATTTCAACAAATTCAAGGTAATCTAAATTTACACAAAAAAAGAAATATGTTCAATTCTACAAAAGAAATACTAGAACCATTGCTGTTGCATGCCCGCCAGATGAATATCTCCCACACTGTTTGTCCAGTCGTCTGACGTGTAGACACTGCCTTGTTTTTATCGAAGCGAACCGCGATCTTCAATCATCAATTAATCCGATCGTGAGTCATCCTCTTTACAAGGCTAAAAAATAATTTAGACTTTTTTGTTTGTTTTGTTAAAGCTCTTCTTAATTAAATTGTTAAATCTATTGAAAGTGATGAGTACGATGATATTAAAACATATATCCCCCCCCCCCCACACACACACAAATAAATTTTTAAAAATACAGCTGCAGCTAAAAGTAACCCATGTCTAATTTCTAATGAAAGTTGATACTTTTTCTACCTTGCTTGTAACTAAAATCAGTTGCAATGCTAATCTTCAGTTGTCCAAATAGCTTGGACAAGTGCAAAAAGGCCACTAATACTAGACCTAGGGATATGCTAGAAAACTTAACTCTTAGCAGGCTGTGTACATATGCAATTAAAATGGATCTTCTGTTCTGTACTGTATATATCTGTATATAAACATTTCCAGTAATGTTTTTCTCATGTTCTATGGACTCTTCAAAGACAATGGAGGTAACTTCATATTTCTTTATTTGCTAAAAAAGGCTTGTGAGTTATTATGTAGATTTTAAAACACACCCCCCCCCCTGGGGGCAGCGGACCTACTTTCCCCCCGTGTGCACCCCCCTACAGATTTTTTTCTTGGCAGTTTGGCAGGTCTGGATCTGTTTCATCATCATCATCGCCTGTCGTCCCGTCTGGGGCATAGGCCACAAACAAAGGCAGCATCCCGGTCTTGGGCAAGTCTCTCCAACTGTCCTCAGTTGCGCCCACTCTTTTTGGTGTCTTCCTCCAGTTCCCTTCTCCAAGTTGTTTTGGGTCGACCTATTTTTCTCTTGCCCTGGGGGTTCCAAGTCAGGGCTTGTCTTGTGATACTTGATGCGGGCTTTCTGAGGGTGTGGCCAATCCATCTCCATCTGCGCTGGCAGATTAACTCTTCCACTGGTTCTTGTTGTGTGCGCCGCCAGAGATCCTCGTTGGTGATGACGTTGGGCCAGTGGATTGGTAAAATCGTTCGTAGACATGAGTTGATAAACGTCTTTAGCTTTTTTGAACCAACTGCTTTTGTTCGCCATGTTTCTGCTCCATATAGCAAGACAGGCTTCACTGTGGTGTTGAATACCTTGACCTTGGTCTGGAGGGTCAAGTTGCTGCAGCTCCAGACCTTTTTTAGCTGGTTAAATGCCGCTCTTGTCTTACCATTTCTCACTCTTATGTCGGCGTCTGTCCCTCCTTGTATGTCAATGATGCTGCCAAGGTATGTAAAGCTATCCACCTGAATATCCTATCTGGATCTGTTTAGTCTTACAATTTCGGCGTAGAATGTACGCTTTTCATAATTGTACGCCGAAACCAGTCAGAATTATGATTTTAAGAGGTTTTTTTTTCCGATGAAAAAATTTATATGAAAAGTAAATTTTCAGTTGTTAGTTTTAATTTGAATTCTGCACCCAGCAGTGAATGGATCGAGACATACGGCTTTTAGGGGACCAATCTATTATTATATTACGTTTTCCCTGAGAAGCAAAAGAAGTGGTGTTCATTTATCAGGGTCCCCACACAGTCGGGAAATAATCGGGAATTTATTGAATAATTTTCCCGGTCGTGAAAACCGGAAAATGGGCCTTCTAATAAGGAAATTTTCTGGATAGTCGGGAATTTTTTAATTTGTAAAAAAATAATAATAAATTTGGCTTTGGGTGCCATGAAAATTGACGTTAATCGCCGATCTCGTCTATTTTTAGCCTTTCTGTTATCAAAACGACCTTGCCAAAATGCTAGTGGTTACCCCTAAACTGCGCTTTGAGCTCTATTAGTTTCTATTACCATACAACTTCGATAGACCAGACATATTTATTTTGTGTTCACATCGCCGATCAAGAGATGTTCGACTGTTTTGGGTAAGTACACCGTAAAATATAGTAAATAATTTTTGGAATCTAGTTTTCAATTGTGAGGTAACCATTATGAATAAAAAACTACTCATCCAAGGGCTGCCTACAATGACTAAGCTTAGCGTACTTTGTTATGTTGTAGTCTTCATAAGTTGATTTTTAACGGTTTTACTGTATGTGGGCGACATGTTGTTTTTTTTAAAGCTCACTATACATTTAATTACAGAGTAGTCCTTCTAATTTTAAAGAGGCTAATATGATTAAGTTATTCTGTGACGTTATTTTTGCGTAGATTAGTTAGCTAGTTTACGGCTGACTTCGGAAATTCATTTAAAAGTTAATAAAATAAAACTAAAACTATTTGATTGGACGTGATACATCGATTCAGTGAGCCTAACATAACTGTATATAGTTACTTAGTCCTTAGTTAAAGTTATGCACTCCCGTGCTCTGGGTATACTTTACAGTATTATACTTTTATTCATAAGCACAGTGGCATAGGCAAGGATTGTTTTTTTTCTGTGTGTGTGTGTGAAAAGGGGGGGGGGGTCTTTTGGATACCCCAAAAAAGTGTGTGTGGGGGGTGGGAGGTTGGTCAATGATGCATTCTCCTGCGGAAAATCCACAAGGATTGTTTTTTTTCTGTGTGTGTGTGTGAAAAGGGGGGGGGGTCTTTTGGATACCCCAAAAAAGTGTGTGTTTGGGGTGGGAGGTTGGTCAATGATGCATTCTCCTGCGGAAAATCCTGACTATACCGTTTCCTATGCATATCTTAGTATCTCTTTTGACTCTATATTACTGTAGTTTAGTACGGG